ATTATGACAGGCCAACTTGGCATCTGATTCAACTTCCAAATACAGGTACAGATCATAAACCAAGTCAAATACTCTTACCTTAAGAAGCAGTTTACTCTTGTTATTTATATGTTTGATTAGGCCCACATTCTTGGAGAGATGGGACTACTTTTTAAAAATATGCATTTTTCAGTTTCTTCTTTTTAACTGCTACCTTTGAAGTACCTAATTCAGAGATACAACCTGTTGTATGTCAATTATGATATCTCATGATAATATTTTAGAGTCTTCTAGTCCAATGTTCTACAGGCTGTACTGTAATATAAGGCTGGACCAAGTTTATTCATATTAGACCTATGACTAAGCATTATTTTTTTAAAAATAAGTTCATGTTTGTAAAAATCCTGCCATAGACATTCCACCGAAAATCTCAGTAAACTGCTCCACATTTTAATGTTCTGAGTTTCTTACTTCTGACTAGCAACTTTGACTAGCAACAAATTCTTACTTTGGAAATTATTTAATCTCTTCTTCTGGAAAGAAGGCTCTGTAATCTGGATATGTACAGATATGTATATCAGTGAGGCAATTCATCTGTTTTTTGAAAAGTTAAACAATCTGGGCTCCTGGAGTCTCACTTGTCAGGTAAATTTTCCAGTTCTGTTGTCAACTCTTTCTTCTGAATTTATGAAAATTATAATTTTTTTTTTATTGAATGCTAGGAGTTTTCAAAGACATAAAGATTTAGGATGACTCTCTTACCCTTGCATGCTATAGAGTCAATAACACTCTGGGTATGTCACTTACGATATTGGCCAAGGAATAAACAAGTAACAGCACACAAGAATTTAGACAGTCCATCAGGCAATTTCTTGGAGGGTTTTCCAGGCTTGTAGGTTTTGGGTTTTGGTGGACTTCCTGCCTCTGCTGAATCCTGCTTTTGCACGATGTAGCTACTGTGTAGCTGAGGGTGGCATGTCTCCAGACGGAGCAAACTCATTTGAACCACTGTGGTTGACACAGCTCAGAAATACAGAATTCAGAAATCTTATCCCCACCAACAGTGAAGACAAACTAATTGCTTGGGCAGACAGGACCCTCAAAGCAAATACTGCAAAAGCCCACCTAGAATTTCTCTGTGTAGACTAGCTCCTTGGGTATTAAAACCAAAATTCTCAACTATGAAATTCTATTGTTCAACATACATAGACTATGAAAGCTTGTGTGCCATCATAAAAAGCTGTAGGACCTAATTTGATTAAGACATATACATGTCAATATTTGATCAATCTCTTAGCTTTTCTGGCTCCATCCTGTACCCATCTGCTACTGTAGGATTTGGTTTCAGTGAGTACAGAATCAAATTATGTTTACAAATCCTGAACTAAAGCTTAAGCATTTAAATTGTCAGTGGACCAGAGGCAATGCCAAAAACATAATTTCTGTATGGTGCTGTATGCTTTCCAGGTCTGTGCCATGAAGAAAGAATTCCCAGATCCATGTAGGTTCTCACTATCTTTCAGATAGAAACTGACATTGCATTTACAAATTTTTTGTTCCTCAAGGTGGTCTACAAAGTACTGGTAGCCTTTAAGAAAAAGAGTTCAAGAAAACTTTTTGCTAGGGCCTACTAGGCATTTTTTGATACTGTTCTTAAAGATGCAGGACTTTTTGAAGTTTGTACGGTAACTAAAGGACTGTGACTCTCAACTTTACACATAATAATTTTCTGCAGTTATGGGTTCTTTCATTAATATCTTACTGATGTCTGCAGTTAAACTGACTACAATCTTCAGAATTGCTTTTATAAAGTGTCTCATTTTTTATTTGGAACTGGTAGATGGTTGAACTAAAAGATAAGTAAAGGCTTTTATTTATGATCTGCGTGCTCATTTGTTTAATGTGATCGAACTTTGCTTGTCAATCCATGTTCTGACTTTCTGTATATTTTGTCCAGGAATAGTTTTAGCTGCTATCAGCACGTTTGTGACAAACTAGATGGAATGTCATTGGATTTGAAGTACCGGAACATATTCTTCAGCTCTTTAAACATATTGTGGCAGTAGGAAACATGGGATTCAGCTGGAAATAACATTGAGCTAACGGTGGATGAGATAAGGTTAAAGTGACAAATCACTAAAGTATGGAAACAAAGGAGGCAAAGTAGCTCAATTTCTTATTTCCTTTTCCTCTCCTGCAAAAAAGTCCAAATGATAAATGCCAAGCACTAATGAAAAATGCTCATAAGATCTCATTTGAACTACGTTGAGAGCAAACCATGAAGGTACTATATGTGCTTCTCCCAGTGAACAAAGTTTGCAATAGAATTCACCATCACCATTGACACAAACTAACACTGGGGCTGGTGAGCTCAGCAGAGAAGCTTGTGACAGAGTAACCCTGGGGTTTGAGTGACAGTCTTTGAAATGGAACAATATGCACTTATATGTCAGTGCTTTTTATATTTCTACATATTTTTGAAATCACTGTACCCACAAACTTGTGGAGGGAAAGGGACTGTACAATCTTTGAGATCTTTCTGAAGGCTGTTGCCTCCCGCTCAGTTCCTGTATGCTCTGGTCTCACCATTAGCCCTCACAGCCCAGTACTGACTTGACTCACCATTTCTCAAATCCCATGTTAAATGGGATGACTTATTAGCAGGAATGACTTATTAGCAGAGACAGCTCTTAATTTGCCAAATCCTCATTTGGCTTTTGTAAAAGCTGACCTGGAAACCATACTCCAGGCTTATGGTTTCAAAGCTCCCATACAATGGTATTTCTGGGTAACAACAGCACATTGAAAGTACAGTTAATATTGGTACTTCCTCTGTTGTTTATAAACAGGTCTTCAGGCAGATTTTATTGCTTTTTGGAATAAAATTCTAGAAAATAAAAAATCTACACGTGTAGAGCTGGCAATGAAACACAGAAAAACTGTTCTGGGTGAAATTTCTGACAGTTTTAAAATCATCACTGAGTCTAACTTCCAGGATGACACAGACTGACATCTGAAACCCACCAAAAGGAAAGGCTAAATTTTTTATGCCAAGGACTGCAGTGACTTTGCAAAGGCTTAGTTTCTTTAAAATACGTTTTCGTTCTTGAAGTGGCTCTAGTGAATTTCGATGACCCAGTGAGGGATATGTAGCCAAAAAATACTTACCATGTCTGAGAAATGAAAGAGGGTTCCAAGAAGTGGAAGAGGGGACACAGAGGTGAGATTGTATGATATCCATAATCCTCCAATTACCAAACCACTTGCCAGCAGGCCAGCAGTTGGTGTGACTTAGAACAGCCTCAGGGTCTCACAGTGTATGTTGCCTGCCAACAGCTTCTAGGAGCCAGTCTAACAATCACAAACCAGTGCCCTAGTTCTTTCCTCAAGCCACATGCCTTCTCCAAGCCAAAAGGAGGAGGGATGGCACCGGTCCAGCTCCACCAGCATCTCTTATGGTTGGAGACACTAGCAAGGACAGATCTGCAGGGTTTGTACAGCTTTGTTTTGTAGAACAGAAACTGAACCTTTGACTCCTGAAGATATCTATCTTCAGACTATACAACCCTCATTCCGAAGATGAAAGGGCTGCTGAGGTACCATTGATTGTTTTGGAAATTATTTTCACCAAAGAATGCTGGTACTTCTCCAGTCTGAATTAACAGCCTGCCAGGGCTGGAGCCAGGAGCATTTCTCTAATAACAGAACTATGATATTACTTCTTGTTTCACTTACTCCACAAATCACACATCTTGCTAGCTTGGAAAAGAAAAGTTGCTGGTACCTATATTTCATTTTAGTGTGTATGAAGGCATCCACTTCATCTGATTTTTAAGTACAATAGTAAGTGTGAATGCTCTGAGAAAAGTCACATTGATCACACAATACATAACAGACAACTATAGGCCTTAAACACGCAGATTAAAATATACATGTACAGTTTTTTTCATAATATCAGGAAGCATAGATTGCTGTTCCAAAACTTGTACTGGATTTTGTCATACCTTTTGAATAACCTCACCACTTAATAAAATGTTACAGAGTAAGTAAAATAATAATAATTGTTCTCTGCTGTACCTTGTAAAAGTGAGTATTACTTCCTTCATGTGTTTAGCCTATTCACTGATGTGTTTTGGCACTGATTCTTCTACATAACAAAATAGCATCATCAAACACCTTCCCCACAGCTTTATTGTAGTATACCTATCCTTCTTGCCAATACTGGCACTCTGTTATAGCCACATTTGATAGAGAGGGAAGAGTGGTATTTTATGGCAACCATCTGGGACACTACCCATGTTTTATCTTGACATAAAAATACATTTCCTTATTATATAAAGTTCAAGATATGCTTCTCTGACTTAAAATATTTTGGGCATGACCAGTTTACTGAGCTGAGGATAAATCACATGGTCAGTATCATTCTTAAGCACAAAAAGCTCCAAGAAGAGGGCATTTCTGGGGTATTTCTAAAAGCCAATTTTTGCTTCTATGACCCATGACTGAGTCCCTTTATATGGGAATGTTTCACTTGTGGCAGTCAAGGTCTTCATGATGCACTGTCACACAGGGATGTGAACCCCGGAGTGCTCCTTGGATTTAAGCTCTAAGTGGGAATCCTTAAATAGTTGAATAGTTGAATAGAAAATGGACAAAGACACAACTTCCTCCCCATAAAACCCCAAAAATCCTAACAAAAATGAACAAACTTCATTAAAGGAGCTACTTGGTTTCTCTGATTAGTCAAGTTCAGCTGCAGTTCTTTACACTAACCAGAGAAGTCCTTGATAGAGGGTAAACAAAATTATCAAGGAAATAATTTTCTGTATTTCACCTTACCCTTTAGTAGTAAGTGCTGATTTTTACTCTAGAGACTTCTGGAGCACACGATATGACTACGCACTACAGTTTTGATGGCCATGCCTCTCAGCTGAATTTTATTTCTCTTGTGGTTTGTCTGAAAGGTATGGGTGCATGTGTGTGCCTTCATGTACATACACATGCACATATATTTTATCGAGCTTAGGGTAAACATGTGCGTTTGTATGTTAGCAGGCATGTATTTGTATCTATGTGTGTTACATCCACTTCACTTTGCAGGTTTCGGTTTACAGGACCTCTGGTGGACGATCAGTCTGTCTGGAAGAAAAGTACGCCCACAAATATCACATGGAACTAGCTGGGTCTGGGCGCTGCTCCAGGCTGCCTCATTTAAAGAATCAAGATCATAGAAACCTTTGGCTGGAAAATTAGAAAAAGAAAGTATCAGCTTTCATTCTGGAGACCCACATTCAACTCTTTATGGAAAATATTTTCAGGAAATACCTGTTGACTGAGCCTTTCAGTTTAACCAAACCATATTGCTTTTGCAAATGAAAAAGAAAAGAAAGAAGCAAAAGAGTAAAAAATACATAAAAAAGACTCTGCTTTTTGTCCCAGGGGTTGAATTAAATTAACTTCAAACTGAATCATTTTGTATTGTATGAGAGTACAGAGAAAACATCATGCTGTGTGTTATGATGTGCATTCTAAGCTAATTACTAACATCTTTGCATACATACTATTATCAGCAAATTCACTTTTTGGCTTCACCTCAAGTTCTGTTTAATCAGCATGTGTTATCTGACCATGGCTATGGGCGGGAGTGTATCCTACTTGAGAATATGCTCTTTGCACTGCTATGGAAAAGGGGTTCAATTTTCTTCCTGTTGGAGTTTATGCAAGTTTTGCTAAAAAGTGGAGTAAATCTTAGATAAGCTCAAAACCTTACAGACAAAACCTACAGTACTTTGAAGCCACAGCTTCCTATGAGGTCACTGCACTGATACATGTATTGTGATCTAAACGCTAATCCAGTCTTACCCTCAGTTATTTTCCACTGTGGGAAGAAGGACTGCTCTGAAAATGCAAGAGCATTCTTCAAACACTCAGATGTATTTTCAAGATTTGGGTATAAAAAAAATATCTTGTTTACTTTCATCTTGAAATGGACTTCCCTTTTCACATAGTATTGTCTCAAACTGATTTGCAAAAAGGCCAGGAAGGTTGCTTAATACCTGGACTTAGTCCTTAAGAGTTTTCATTTGAAGTACATGTAGAAAAAAATCCACATGGCTTGAATTGAAGATGTATTTGCTTCACCCTTCTCAAATGGTATGACAATATAGAAAAATATTTAAAAATCTGGTTTTTTTCTTTGAACTTTTAGCAATTTTTAAAAGAAAAGGATTTGTGCATTTTAAAAAATTCCATGGTTTCTGTCATTGGCACATGATAGAGCCCTTCATTAAAGGCCCATACAATTTTAATATGATTCATATCCAATGGTTCACATAACCACAATAAGCCTTAGATCTCTTAATATGCCTGTTCCTAATGTTCTTTTTGTTAGAAGAGCAACCAAGTAGTGTTTCTTTTCTTGGCTGAGACAAATATCCCCTTTGCTTGCAGGAAATGAATGTGTATTTTCTGTACTTTGGTGAGTTTATGGAATATAAAAAAAAAAAAAGAGGGAGGGAAAGAGAAAGAGAGATGACTTTCTCCTTGAAGGCATGTGTTAGGCATTCCACAAACAAAACACTGTGTAATGAGGGCAGTGGTTGTCTTCCCGTGACACTGGAGTTTTCAAAAAAAGATTTATGTAAGTTATAAAAAGTTTTATGTAAGCAGTTAATATTTCTGAGCTTTTTTTGAACATTGCCTGTTTTATTCAACAACAGGAGTAATCCCTCCTCCCTGAAATGAGAAACTGTGAGACATGCAGTACATGCATGTGGTCTCAAGGTCAGTTATAGCATTTACCAGATGATCGAGAGTAACTCTTACGGAAAAAGAACAACACTGAGATTATTTTCTTGAGGCCAGGAGTATGAGGCAACTGCAGGGGGAACAACAATTTTAGCTCAAACTACAGAACTGATCAGGCTTGCATCAGCAGGCATTTAGGGACAGATGTTGGAAGCAGGTCAATGTCCCCTGGGGAACCATAGGCACACAACACCTCACAGGAGATGAGAGATGCCTGATATGACTCACTGCATACAGCAATTTTCTGAGCTTTCTGCTAGATTGTTTTCTCAAAGAGTGGTTGTCTTTCTGCTTCCACTCCTTCAAAATAAGAACAGTGTATTTAAAAAAAAACATATTTGTCCTTTTGCATCCTTCTCTTTCACATGGAATTCTCATTTTCTCCATCTGTTTTACCACAAAATGTGTAATAACTAAAAAGTGTTTAACATCTAAAAGAGCAAACACAATGAAAACATCTTTTGAACATATCATTTACTGCAGATTCAACTCTGCCACTTGGCATCTGTTAACCAAGTTATGATTTGACATTATTTGATCTTTGATTATTATTTTGAACAGCTGTTTAGTGTTCTCTGTGATCCTGCTCTCTTCTGTGTGTCTTCTGAGGACATATTTCTTTGTACTGCTGTAAACTGACCTAGTGTATGACTCTTTCACAGTGAGTTGTAGGAGACTTTGTCTACTTTTCCAGACATTAGGGGAAGCTGAGGGAAATTATGGGGAATATAAAAAAAAGCATGTGTGGATTAAATGCCTGTGAGTGAGGAAGTGGTCCAAACTTGGCCCAAAGTAGCTCAGACCAGCTGGCAGGGCCAGGGAAAGCATCCAGAAGAAAAGGTGAAATAACTTTACATGAGAATAGGGAAGCCCTGGGAACAGCTTTCAGGCAAAGCACAGGTAAGGATTTCTTTTTGGTCCTACACTGAGCACATCATCCCCCGGAACACATACTGGAGCCCACCTCTGTGGGTGCTGGGGATTATCAATGTTTGTTGACTTCAAGAAGTGGAAACTTATAAAACAGAACCCACAGAACAAACATGCCAAATTGACAGAATTAAAAATGGATCAATAACATCCACTGGATGCTGACTGTAGAAGAACGTAGTTGAAGTATCTATACGTATGTTGCCCAAGGGTATTTTATTTTAATGACTGTATGTGTCAAGTCTGCGCATTACTCTTGGATGTTTTTGCTTACTTTAAAACATGCCTATCTACAGTGTTGAAAGGAGTCAAAAGCTGTGAAGCATGTTGCTAATCTATTTGTGTTTTGATTCCGAACATACTGACACATAAAGGGGACTGCCCCAGTAGGCATGTCCCAGAGTCAGTGACTACTCTCACTTCTCATGGATGCTCCACAGAATAACTTGATACTTAACAGAAAGCTTAAAACAAGTAAACTGGAGAAAGAAGTTCTTGCAAACTATTTATCTACTACTTAAAATTACTTTTTTAAAAAATTTTTATTTTATTTTATTTTTATTTTTTGTTCCTCCCACTTTCTTCCTCCCAGATCTTAACTTGGTCTATATCTTACCTTGCACAATTCTGACTTCAGGCTTTTTAGGTTCTGGCCTTCTCAAGTGCTTGGGTAGGTTGTCATTCTCCTGGTGCCATTTTTTCAGGCATTGTGGTTCATGAATACTAATAGATTTTGTTCCATACTCACGACCACATATGTAACAAATCACTGTTGGTGGCCGTTTTATCACTTTTGCCTGCAAGTAAAAATGGTGAAGAAGAATAAATACTGGTTTCAACATTAATTTTGAATCAGAATGACTGTGGATGAAAGCAGTCATGTAGATAAAGAACCTGATACTCGTGAAATCAGTGTAACTGTTTCTAGCAATTCTGTTTTGTTTGCATTCAGTCTTGAAGCTTGTAAGAGATATCACCTCATTAACAGATGGGTTCATTCTGCAGATACTGGGCTGAAAATTCACGTGTGTGACTAATACTTAGCTATTTTCACACCTTCGAGTTCATAGAAATGCTCAGTCTTCACATGCAGAAACAACTTTGCTTCATCAGGTTGCTGGGGAGCAGCATCCACCTTAAATGACTGAAGCTCTTTTTTATGGACCAAGTAGAAGTAACATGTAAAGAAGCAACAAAAGCTTCCTCAGCTGAACACAGCTGCAGTAACAGACAGACTCCATCTTCTGGCAGAACACAGCTCAAACCACTGTGTCCAGCTTTAGTGTCTCTCTAAAGTTGGAGAGTGAGGGTAGCTGTCCCAAGCAGTGATTGTGGTCCCTTACCCCATGTTACTTTTTTTTGCCACAGTTCAGTTAGTTGATGGAATTCTTAGCCTGCGAGGATTAAAATCAACCCAGGATATTTCAGGATGAAGGGTAAAATAGGAATTGCTGTTTGTTTATCCCAAAGGCCTCAGTGTGAACTTTGCCACTAACTGTAGTGAGTGTAGAACTGGACTCTAAGCAAGTTATTGTTTCCACACTGCAAATATGCTATTGTTCTCAGAAAAAAACAGCTCAACAATGGAAGAAAAAGATTCCTCAGTCCCAAACTTCACAAATACATATTCTAAGGCTGAAAAATGTATAATTACTGTGGTATGGTAGATTATGGACTCGGCTGTGTCCTTAGGCGTGTCCTGGGCTAGGTGTGGTGTCAATACCAGCCCTACTGGTAGCATAAAAAAACACTGTAGAGACAGAACTTGGAGGCACACAGATGGGTCTCACAACTGCCAGCACTTCCTACACTTCTGACTGCAGAATACCAGTAAGAGATGAGCTGTCCCCCGCTCTCCTAAAGATAGAGGGACAGCCAGGCCAGACCAAACATGGGAAGCCTTTCTCACTCAAACAAGGGAGGTGGGGATTTAATTTTTTCCTCTGCTGCTGTTTAAGACAAAGAATAACCTGTTCCAGTATTTATGACTCTCTCTGTCAGCCCACGAGTGTGTTCAAGAAATTCTGGGCAGTTCTCGCATTTATGTTACAGTCTGAAAATGTCATTAGTGAACAATCTGCATAAGCTTGCTTTCCTGTATCACACATGTAAACTCAATTACAAGAAGAAATACTACTCTATAAAGTGTATTTTTGCTGGGAAAAGGTAGACTTAATCTAGAAAGTTCTCACAGTGACTTGAAATACGACATCGAAAGACAGTCTCTCCAAGGACATTTCAGCCTCTTGACTTTCAAATGGAATTTCCTTAGCTACCTTTGATAACACAGTATTTATACATGTATATTTGTAATAAATATAAAAACATACCCTTCTCCTCCTATTTGTAGGTGAATATGTCAACAGCTATTTTAAGAACACCTTCTGATTTTTCACTATCAATTTTCACCTACCTCCTTGCTTCAGGTCTTGAGCTAAACCTTGTCTGATTTGGAGATAAGACTCTGGATCCAGACACAGAGTTTTTTGAAGGCACTATATGTTTATTTGTAGGCTCTGGAGAGGTTTAATTAAGAATATTATCTGAATTGTTGAGATCAGGGGACTCATTTCAGTGTGCATTCCTGTTTTGAGTATGTTACAGCATTTTAGAAATGGTTTCCTTAAAAAATGCTAGTTGTAAAATCACTGGGAACACATATTTCTCACTAGGTTCATTAGCTAGGTTCCTACCATTCATTAAAATAGGTTATTTACTGGCTGAAAACTAGGAAAGAGCAATTTGATGTGCATTTGGTTTGTGGGAACTCTTTATATACTACCAGAAAGGGAAAAAGGAATCCTGGTAAAAATGTTGTAGAAATCTGTTCAAGTAGAAATGTCTGTCTTTTGTAACTTCCACAATTAAAAACTGTACAGAAACAATAGAAGAGACCAAAATTAATTAAAAGGAATCAGGTCACTCTAAGGATAGAATTTTTTTTTTTTCCAGAAAAATAGTGAGTTTGAATCATCACCAGACATACAATTATACACACAAATCCTTCTCTGCACACATGTTGAAAACCTGAAAAATAAAATCTGAAGTGGATTAGCCTTACAATTGGTAGTAACAGGTTTCTCATTTTTTAACTGTGGAATCCAAGATATGATAAGCTTTACTTGGAATTTCTACAGCTGATGATATTTACCCTTCCTTTCTTTTTCTCTTCAGTGTGTGCTTATCCCAAATGTCACATCTGGAGGCCTGCAGTTTGAAATGAAACTATTTTTGGAAACACCACAATTTTCCAACCCAAACTACTCACAGGCCAGTGGCTAGGCTGTCTGCTCACTGCTTTGTTTTTAACTTTTAAAAAGGGTTGTAGGGAAGGTCTGTTCCTGAGGATATGTGTTATTATAAAAATACCTACAAATACCTAACAGTGTAGCTAGGCTTTCCTCTGGTGTCTCAGTATTTTCTTTTTTTCTCCAAGACTGCTAAGTATGTCTGCGTGACTATGAATGAAGTTATTTAGCTCAGAGGGCTATGCAACTATGTATTTTCAATAGACCTGACATTACTTGAGGTTAGCCCCAGGCTGCTGTTATGGTGTTACATGAGGTCAAATCCTTCCATACTGCACAAAGCTTTTAATTTCTTCTTAAGTACACAATAAGACTGTCTCCCAAGCTCTGCTACATAAATATTTATCATCTAGGACTGCACACACCTCGCCTTTCCTATTTGTTTAGTTATCCACGTATTTTAATGGGAAGAGGGGAAGCATCTTGCTCTAGGACAGAGCTCTCATCATAGACTTGAATTGCCCAAGCAACAGAGGCTCAAAAAAAGATTGGTACAAACACTTAGCAGCACCATTCTGTTGTATGAAAGCAGTTCTTTTCACACATTCCTCTCCGGAAAGTAGAAAGCATTTTGCATAAAGGACAGGGACAAGCTGTGGCATAGATCTCATGACTATGCAAAGTTGCATTTCACACCCCACTGGAGTAATTTCAGCCACTGCCCCAACACAACTACCCCAAGCACAAATGTTAGGACTGGTCATATGCCTGTGTACAAAATTTCTTTGAACAGTAATTCTGCCAGATGATGCTGGTAATTAAAGATATTACTCCGCTGAGAGCACTAGAATATCCCATTTCGCTCCTGATGTGTTTTATTTTAATTGAAATACATCAGGATAATGAACATGTACATTTTGTGTATAAAAAGAAAGGCAAGAAACTCAATCATTCCCAATGATAAGTTTCGTTCAAACCATCCATTCACTGTCCATTCTCAATTAACTTTCCATATTTGAAAATTTCTTTGCCAGAATTCTCCTAAAAAGGTGTTCAAAACCACTGCAATCGAGGCAAGCAAAGCTTTTCGTTGACTTCCCACCTTCATTAGAATTACACAGCATCTGAAGGAGTCTTTCTTTTACCAAGCGCCTAGATGGCTTTGTGCTAGAGCAAAATACAACATCAACATTGTTGCTACAAAAATTTTCAAGGTTTATGCTGTGTTAAAATGCATTGCAATACAGCAAAGAAAGATCAGTGATATCTTTTTAGGTAGTTCACCTGATAAGAAGAAAACAGCAGATGGCAGCAGCAGCTGCTGGTGATACATCTAATAGGCTTCCAAGATCAGCGATATCTATTGTCAAAAATCCCATAACTCATACACACACGGCAAGTCACTGGTGCTCACTTACACGTACCACACACTTTTTTCTATGAAAGAATAAAACACAGACTCTGTTCTAGTGCAAGTCTGATTTTCAGAAGCTCCAGACGTCACTTCCATTTTTGGGGGTATCACGACAGAATCCAAAGCAGAATTTCTGAGTCTTTAAGCATAGGCGGTGGTTTGTTGTACAAAGTCACACAGGATTAACTCAGATGTGTTCACTGATTCTGAGAGCAAGGGCAATTAGTGGAAGAGATGATTTACAAAGGCTGATGTGTCTCCAGCTCTAAAAACATTTAATGCAAAACTGCAAAAGAGTTTGTCAGTAACGACAACAGCCTAGTTGGCCCTTCACTTGCTAAAGGGCAGGGAGCTCCAGGACAGAGGCACACAGGCAGAAGTGCTTGCAGTTGTAAAGTTGAGATGTCCTTCACATGGTGTACTATTAAATCAGTCAAAACTTTCGTTTTGTAAATGAAGAAAATTCAGCTTTTTCATATAGGGCATCTTTCATTGCATAAATTAATTTGACAGTAGCATTACTTCTCTTAAATACACTTATACAAGGGTTGGATTTTTTTTCAGTTAGTCTTTTTCTCTGATGTTTTGCTGAATCAGGACTTTAAATAAGTACTTAAATAATTCACCATCACAGCAAGTAGGTCTGTTAAATGAGACAATAGGCTGCCCCAAATGCTTCCCAGACAGGACCAAAACAGATTGCCATTTCACTCCAGCACTAATGGAGTACTATTTTTTAACAGAATTAATAAGTAGCTGAGGAGCTGGTAAGGTGAGCAAAACTCAAACCATATGTTGGAAAAAGATGAAGACTTTAGAGGACACACAGACCTTGTTCCTGTTCATAGCAAATCTGCAGTTCTTCCATAAGCTTAATGCTTTTCCACATCCTTCCATGTGTGGAGCTTTCAAAATTTTCAACTGTAAATACAGACCTTCACACAGAGAATTTAAACCTATGGAAAAGAGGCTTCCTTTAACCACTTCTTATAAGCTGTCTGCCAATCCTGAAGAACCATTTGGATCACAGGACATTTCTTTCAGTCTTCTGTTCTACTTTCTGCCTTTAAAGTGAACAAAAGAACAGCTCTAAAAATATTAACATAAAAGACCTCAGAGAGGTAAAATCCATCATCCATTCCTGAAAGTCATTGTTAATAATAAAGTCCCTTAGAGTCAATTACAAACTGCAAGCTGTACAGCCTCATTAGTTCTGTTGCAACTGATGAACTGTAACTGCTTGGAAGTAAACGAGTAAACCTGTTGTTCACACAGAAGGAAGAACATATTTGAACAGATTTCATTCTGGCTCTGCAAAGCTCACAGAAGTAAAAAGTGGTAATAATGTTGTTGTTCAACAAGTCAGCAGATGTGACTGAATCCACACAGGGAACAGATTTGTTGTGCAAGAGGGTAACATTTTACAGAGTCACTGTCAATGCCAAACCACGCTCTAAACTTTTTCCTTTTTTCTTTTTTTTTTTTTTTCTTTTTGATAGCATTATAACTATAGACAATTGCCCCATGTCCTTTTTTTTTTTTTTTTTTTTTTTTAAACTCCAGAATTATGTGTGATGGAATAAACTCTCTGTTTCACACCCATGCCCTTCATTGAACAATCACTTTCAGAGCAAAGCCTGTTCTTTGGTAAAGGGTACAATGTTGTGAAAACAAGAACATCACCCTTCCTATACCTATAGATGCAGCTGTGCAGCACTTTGAACTGCTTGGAATTATTTGAAATTTGCTGATAGAAGACGTAAGGAGTGAACCCTAATTTGACAGTATCTATCAGTTAGTGGCCTCATATAGCATAATAAAAAAATGTTTCCTGTTATCTTTTAGTCTCATGTGAGCTAGGGTAATGCTTATATCTCCATTTTATTGAGCAGCTCGTAAGCTAACATGTAATGTCCTTTGACATCTAAAGCATCTTTAGAAATGCTCTGCATACCATTGCATTCCTTTGGTGACTGAAAAAGTTAAATCTCATTTTCAAAAGTAATGTAGGAAACCAGGATTCCAATCCCCATTTGAAAAAAAAAAAAAAAAAGATGTTTAATTTAGACACTGGGCCTAAATTCAGACAACTATCTTACAAAACTCCTGGCCAAAAGACAGCTTGTGCAGAAACAAATGCAGAAAAAAATAAGCCATTTTCCAAAACTCTGTATAGTTTTTGGATAATGTGAATCAGCTTCTTTATTCTTGGATCTTGAACCAAATTCAGTGGAAAGAAATGTGCAGTCCTATTTATTTTGTTGTTGTTATACCCAGAGCTGCTGCCTTTGAACATGCAGTCCTCAGTAAACTTATGTTCCATGCCAAGGTTAAGAAAAATGGTAAAATATGAAAATCATATTTGGAGTGCTGGAGTGCTTACAGGACAATGAAACACTGCATTTCATGGTTACTAAATAAAAATACCTAGTATCTGATAAAACATATAACATCCAAACCTTGCCTAAGCTACTTAAGAGAATCGTCTAGGGAGGTATAGCAAACAATGGTCCTCTTGGGGTATAACTCTTACAGGACCACAGAGAAGGAGAACCCAACTACTCTCTTTCAAAAAGAAAGTTGAAACAAATAGGAATAAGTAGTTTCCCCATTCACCCAGTATTCCTCTTTTCTTTTTCTACTATTCAGGAGATAAACTTTTTCCTGGAGCCAAAAGGTCCTTCTGAAGGAAAGTGATCTTAAATTTGATGGGAAGCCAGTCTCCCCTCATCTTCCAAGTATCAAGATGCATCCACACCCTTTCATACAGCACATGTTTAGCAATTTACCTGTGCAGCTGATGCAGCCCCACTCATTCCTTGATGGTCCTCAGATTGACCATATCTTTCTGAGCCAGTTCCAGTTCTTGGTCCTTTACCAGATTTATGAGTGCTGCTACCTCCTCTGCAACACCTTTCATGCACAGGGAGACGCTCAGGAAAAAAGGTTCTGCCACAGTTTCTACAGGGCACGAGCTGGGCTTGAGCACTCTGATAAGCCGCCTCATTTTCATCTGCAAGTGTATAGGAACCACCAGGAAGGACCTCAGGTTTCCTGGGCTCTGGTCTTCTAAGGTGCTTTGGTAGTTGATCGTTTTCAATATGCCACTTCTTTAGGCACTGAGATTCATGTATAGAAATAGACTGCGACCCAAATTCTCTGCCACAGATATAGCATACCTTCAAGCCAGGTCTCCTTGGTGGAAAGGGCGTTTGAGACATGTTTGAAAAATCTGATGGTTTTGATGCTATTGCAGTGCCTGGTCACCTTTACTGGCGTCCAGCTTACAGATGTACTACTTTCGGAAAATTTCTGGGAAGATCTGCAAGTTGGATGGTGCCAGATGATGCTCTGAGGGCAAGGTGCTAGAGATACTAGTAGGGTCTTCTCCAGGACTTGACGGAGAACTATGAGTTTTGTTCACATTCTTTTTCCTGGCATTTGTTTCCATGAAGGATAGGACATTTGGGGAAATTTCTCCCTCTCTTGCACATAAAGGTCTTGGGAAAGTCTGCTGTTCAGAATGATTTTACACCTTCTTAATCCATTTTCATGAGCCAATGTGTATTAGGGACTTCAAAGCTGGAACACTACATCTAATGGCTGTTTCAGTAGAGAAAGGGGGTTTCTGTGTGTTTTCCTTTTGTCTTTTGTTCTTACATGATCCTGAAACAAATGAAATTAGTACATATTAATAAATGTCTTCTCCCTTGTTGAGGTTACCAACTAGTGGTTTATCACAAGGAACCTTACTACTCTTGTACTTTTAAATAGCAGATAAATAACATCAAATATATCCTTACCCTTAATGATCAGTTGAACAATGTAAATCTAAAATTCTAGTTTCAGAAGATGGAAAGACATGAAGGACATGAAAGAAGATGGATTTGGTACTTGTGAGGTGGTGGCTCAAATTCTCTGACCCATCTTGATTCTCCCAGTACAGGAGAGTTATTAATAAAATTGAGCAGGTTTATTAGTAAGAGCTAGTGAGATGCTTTGGGGGCTGAAGCACATGCCATATGAGGAGAAGGTAAGGCCGCTGTTGTTTAGTCTCAACACAGTACTAAACATATTTCCATTTTTCACTGTGCAGTCTATCCCTGCGTACAGATAAATCTGTGCTGTATCCCTTAGAAGCTCATTTCTTATAATATTTTACCCTGGTCCTCCTTTAAGGATCAGAAAATAAAATTCAGACCATATCCTTGTATAGTAGAGACTACTGTTTTATTGCAAGAAAAAAAATAGCTAGTACGTCGCATAGATAGGCAACTGCCATGGACAGTCTACTTTTTCTGTAATAGAAGAAACAGCTGGCTAAACGGTCACCTTGCCCTTACCAAACATTCCAAACTTTATCTCAATCCTTTCAAACTTTTAGGGGGTTCCTAACCCACAAACTTATCCAGAGATTCCACTGACCTGTCTCAGTTCACTTTCTCAGCTGCAACCAACCAACCTGGATCTGCTCTTTACTGCTGTATTGTTATGGCACCATGGAAGACTTTGTTTCCACTCCACAGCCTTTTCACCCTTATCACTCCCACCTCTGAACCCAGGGGCTTAATTTTACTATACTCAAGGGTAATGATGCAGTTTTTTAGATGACAAACTTTGTGCCACAGAGAAGTACTGAGCTCATTCTAGTCTCTCAAATATTCTAAGGGATATCTTAAGGACATGGGCTATAGTTGTCACCACGTTCATGTGCATAGTCATTCTCTTGCCAGGCACATAAAAAGTGTTTAGATTGCTGCATTCACACTGCTCACCTAAATACTCACAAAGCTGCATATTCCTGGGATTCTTTCTTACTTTAAAAAAAAAAACTTCTGTGAAGCTCACATTTATTTGTAGGCAAATTGGAAAATGTGAAGACCATCAGACCCAATGTATGATTTGTACTGGAACAAATCTCTGTGAACAAATATGTTGGACTTAGCTGTTAAAAATAAAATTCTTGAGGGACTTAGCACTCAAAGTTAACACCTCATCTGAAACTCTATTAGATAACTACAATTTGCGGAAAAATATGCCAAAGTCTGAAGCTATCAGGTAAACATATAATGGATGCTGAAGGTTACACAAAACTGTAGGACTGGACATTTTTAGTTCAGATATCAAAATAACAGGTTCAGCAGTATGTGAAATTTAAATCTGCAAACTAGTATTGAGGCTACTGTACTGCAATGCTGTTTCAAAGACTGGGAGAGTTTCCAAGGAGAGTGGCCTGTTGGATGAATCCAAGTTGGGAAATAGCCAAGCTCTTTAGGAGGATGAAGGGAATGGAGAGCCAGGGAAACATTAAAGGGTCATGAAGGCAGGGGAGATAAGGGTTATTGGCGGGTCACAGGAAGGGAGCATCAGAAAGTTCAGTTACATTTCAGGGAACTTCTGAACTTTGTAAGGTCCTATTTATGTCCTATTTATTGATTTATGTCAGACTGAAACTTTCTGCTACCTGAGAGGATTCTTAAAGCAACAGTGAACATTGAACTGCCTGCCACATGAAGAATGTTAGGTGACTAAATCTGTTGCCATTAGGAATGAATCAGTCAATAAAAGATGCTATAAACAATCTATTAACAATATAACCTATTGTTGGATTTCCAAACTTGCTATTGTAAATACTTCATAAGAGAATTATGTTTCCTTGTGGGGATTACACCATTTGGTCTACATTTATTCCTGCCAAGTTGACTGTTATTATTTGGAAACTTCATATAAATTCAGTGTGAAATGAAAAGGCATATGAGCGGTTCAAATTTTCTCTCAAGCTCAGCGGTAAAGTTATGGAAGTAAATCAGACCATGATTTTACATTTCAAAACATAAAACTTTCTTATGTTTTCCTTTTAAAAATGTTGCAATATGTTTTTCAATAAAGTGGGAGGGTACAATTGATCGTTGACTATAGCTGTGGGAAAACATTTCTCTACTCTGCAGTTCCACTGAGGACAATACTTAAAAACAATCTCATGAACTGCAGTGGCAGGTCACTTACAACTAGGGGAGAAATCCAATTTAATTAAAAATGAATGAAACACAATTGCTAGTTCAGCATCAGGCTGAGAGCTTCACTCTAACCAAAATAGCACAGAATGACAAGAGTGCAAATATCTCAGTTCATCTCTAATCTTCTTGTCCTGAAGAGGGAACTGGAACTCTTGCACACTCTTTTTAAGCTTCATCTAAGCAGAAATTGCAATAGCATTATTATCCATGCTTCACTAATGCTGCCTGCTCTTAGCTGCCATGTGTGATTCAACCTATACAAGTAAGTGGAAACTTTTTCCCTGAAATGGCCTTCTTTATGTCTTCTTTCATGTCAGTGTTGGAACTTGGAAGCAAAGTTGACACATACGTTTCCTATTTCCTGTATGCAGCTCATTTCTGAAGAGCGACCCTCTCTGTTTTTCATCTCTCTTGATTCTCTCATGTAAACAATTCCTCAAAACCCATTATAAGGTCATTTTATAAGCCTGGATTCCTTGACTGAATTGAACAAAACATACTTGTGTTAGCTGGGGAATTAAACTGGCTGTTTCCAATGAATTCTCAACACTACTGCTTTTGACTTAGCTAGAATTCCACATGGAGACCTCACAGCTGAAAAAAACAGAGCTTACCTTATGGAAGAACACATTGCATTAAGCCTCCTACTACCAGGACATAACCAGGCTTATTAAATGGACAAAATACAAGAACAATTGTGACAATTTGGGGAATCTGTTCCTGTACAACTTTTGGATGCTGACTGATATCACAGACTTTACACATGTAGCTGTAACAGACTGTAAACTCTGTTTAATTATATAGTTGGCTTACTGTTATTGTTCTCATCTGCCAGCACAGAAAGGGACAAGGTAAATCCTTGCACCAAATGAAAACAGAACTAAAACAAAGGTCACAAAGCTTTCAAGTTTATACATGTCAAAAAACAAAACAAAACCAAAACTCCTCTTAGATGTGTTTGACTCCATCTAAAAGCAGAGAAAATTTCCAGGGAAGACCATAAATGAGCAAAATAAAAATTAGGAACAACTGATTCCTTTACTACTTTTTTAAAAAGCAGTTCTTGAAAAAGCTATGAAAAGGATTTATACGAAGTACTTGCTTGAGGTGACAGTGGCTTAAATCCAGGAGGCTTTTTGGAGAGTTCATCTATTAGAGTGTACTTACAAAATCAGGACTCCTGTAACAGAGTTATGAGAATGTCAGAATTGGTTGATCTGCCTGAGGAAGAGTATGAAAGGCATAAGAGATACATTAAATGAAGGGGAAAACATTATGCTCTGAAATAGTGGCATTCGAGTACAACAGCCTGGTGGAAGTCCAGCTATAGATCACACTGTCAATACCAAAAAAGAAGAAACTAATTTTAGCCTGAAAAAAAATACTGGTTAATTCAGTACCTCGGATTCAAGAGTTCTTGGCTGTGTAAACCCTTGTTTAAGCAAAGCCCCACTTCACTCTGAGTTTTCCCTTTGTTTCCCTTTCTTCAATACTACACTCAGTGTTGTATACTCATTCTACTGGTTCATCACACCTTGCTTGGAGCCATAAGCTTTCTGTTTGTCACATCACAGTTGCTGTATGCGGGTCAATTAATAAGGGTGATTTATGTACATTTTACTAAATTCGCAAGTATTCTAAAGGAAAAGTTTTTCAGTTGTAATACCTAACTTTACCGTTACATAAATTTGAAATATGTCGAATGGCTTTAAATAAGAAGCAACAAGCAAAACTTCCCACACTACAATAGTACCCAGATATTCTGGCTTCTCAGTCTGGGTTGGACTGTCTAAAAAAACACAAAAAGGAGAACAACAACTCAGTCTAAGAGGACGAAAGATACAGAGAGATGAAATAAGTGATCTACTGAGCATAATACAGCAAATCTGAAAAAGAAGGAAATTAATCCAGATTTTCTGGTGCCCCAATACTAAATCAGGCCAGTCACAGGATTTTCTAAGGCTGATCCCTAACTTTACAGTCAAGGATAAGGTAAGTCTTTTTTCTCCATTCTACTGGGTTTTCATTATATTTACATATAAAAAAGGTGTCAGAAAGGACCAAACTGACATCCTGTGTTGAGTGCCAAAAAGTCTTGCTTCAGGCTCTTTCCAAATAAAATGTCTTCTATGAGGCTTCCTGTTATTCTCTAAGGGAAAGCAAATTAAATTAAACCATCTTAAGCTTTACCTTTTCTTGTGCTAAATATTGTTTTCTATTGCTCGATTATAAATCATCTTAAAAATCTGTTAAGACAAAGTACTCAAAGCTAAGCTGGACAAAAATATTGGACAATTTGTAGTATCTTACTGTTGGATCTGTTTTGCACTGAAAGATAAAAGGAAAAAAACATTCTCATGTTTCCAACAATATTTTTAGCAAATTAACCACACATT